TGTACCCCCTTCCCTGATTGAATTGTGAGCCGCCCTGAGTCCCCTTCGGGGAAAAGGGCGGCATATAAATGTAATAAATCCAATCCAATCCAACTATCCACTAATATTTTCCACTTACCTGAATTGTATTGGACATAAATTAGCTTGGAGATTACGTGTATTATTTAATAATGAAATCAATAGGTTGGAAAAGGATAGAGGTAGAAGAATATTGTGTGTGGCTGTGACCAGTTCCTCTGGATAAATGGATGGAATTAGCTGTTTCCACTGGCTACTCTTCCAATTCTCAGTCCAGTGTAACTGGTAGCATCATCTTGTAAAGTCTTAGAAAGAGCTAAAGAACATCACAGCTTGTTTGATGCCATCTCATTTTTCCTTCCACCTTTTTCAGCATTACAGCCTTCTCAAAAAAAAATTGTGGGTCTTCACAAAATGTGTCTGAAATAGGGTAATTTGAACCTGGTAATGTGTACTGGATAGGACTGAACTCGGTTATTCGGTTTTTCCCAATCCTCAACTCCAGACATCCCTGGTAGGCAGGTATATTTTTCTTGCTAATCATAATCACAAGCAGAAATGCCTATGGAGATTCTCAGTCATCCAGGTCATGGTTGCCCCAAAGGTGCTTTTTCAAGAGGCAACAGGACTTCCTTTGATTTTCGTTGAAGATGTTTTGCTTCTCATCCAAGAAGTTTCTTCAGTTCAGCTTTGGTTCAGAACCGAAGAAGCTTCTTGGATGAGAAGTGAAATATCAGTAGCGCTTAGAATTAATTGCCGCTTCACGGAACTTTACAGCCCTCTAAGTGGTTTTACAGAGTCAGCCTATTGCCCTCCCCGCAACAATCTGGCTCATTTTTCTTACCGACTTCGGAAGGACGGAAGGCTGAGTCAATCTTGAGCCTGGTGAGATTCGAACTGCCAAATTGCAGGCAGCCGGCAGTCAGCAGAAGCAGCCTGCAGTACTGCACTCTAACCACTGCGCCAGCATGGCTCTACCAAACATAGCTCTTCAGGAATTGGATTCCTCGCAAGTCACTGATCAGACCTGACATTTCAAAATAACGAAGCACCCTCGGGAAGGCATAAGATAATAGAATTAATTAGGCACGCTCTTTTTCTTTCTTTTCTCCTTTTCAGGAAGCTGTCGCTCATGCGACTATTGTCACAACGTGGGAAAAGATTGCGATGGTTACACAACGGAGTGTGACTCTCCAGAAGATCAATGCGGCACTGTGTTGCTGGAGATTTCGTCAGGTAAAACCCCTCGTTTCCTTCCAATAAAAGGAGAAACTTTCTAAGGTTTCCTTTCCTGGATGAGTAACTTTCTCAATAGGGGATTTGAGCTGGTGACCACCTGCATGGTCCTTGTCCATACATAGAAAGCACCGGTTCCTAGAATTGGGTATGTCTATTTAATGAAAAGAAGGACTAGGGGTGACATGATAGCAGTCTTCCGATATCTCAGGGGCTGCCCCAAAGAAGAGGGAGTCAAGCTATTCTCCAAAGCAGACTGAGGGCAGGACGAGAAGCAATGGAGGGAAACTAATCAAGGAGAGGAGCAACCTAGAACTAAGAAGGGATTTCCTGATAGTGAGAACGATGAATCAGTGGAATGAGTTGTCTCCAGAAGTTGTATGAATGCTCCAACACGGGAGGTTTTTTAGGAAGAGATTAGACAACTTTTGTCTGAAATGTTTTAGAGCTGTGAAAGCAAACTTTTTCAGCACCAACTGCCCAAACCGGAAGATGTGTACATGTGTGTGCCGGAGCAGCGGAAACCTGAATACCAGCTGGCTGGCAGAATACCCGCAGGCCTGTTTATTGGCCGTTTTGGAAGTCATGTGCAGGCTGTTTTGGAGGGGGGTGGTTTCAAAGATATTTTTGGCCCCAGAAACATCCTGAAAATGAGAGAGGGATGGACGTGGAAGGTGAACTGCAAGACAGAGAGGGACCCCCCATGGAGAAGGGATGGGCAGGATCAACATCTGGAAGTTAACATCAGGAGCAGTCCTCAACTTACGACCATTATGGAGCCCAAAATGTATATCGTTAATTGAGAAATGTGTTAAGTGAGTTTCGCTCCGCTTTACGACTTTGCTTGCTCCCTTTGTTACGCGAAGCCTTGCAGTTCTTAAATTAGTAACACGGTTGTTCAGTGAATCTAGTTTCCCCGTGGGCATGGCTTGTCAGGCGGTCGCAAAAGAGGATCCCATGAGCCCAGGGACACCGCAAACCGTCATAAATGTGAACTGCTTGTCGTGCATTTGAATGTAAATCAGGTGGGGGAAGCTTGGAATGGTCGTAAACGCGGCAAATGGTCATAAGTCAATTTTTTTCACTTTGTAACTTTGTACGGCCACTAAGTGAACCGTTGTAAGGCGAGGACTGCCTGTCATCTCCAGCTGTCTGCTGGAGAACAGCAGAGGGAGACAAGGAACACAATGTAAAAAAAAGGCCTTCACACAAGTTATTCAGGATGTTTCAGAATCGCCCCTCCCTAAAGCTTTTCTTAAGGTGGCTCAGTGACTAAGACGCTGAGCTTGTCGATCAGAAAGGTCGGCAGTTCGGCGGTTCAAATCCCTAGTGCTGCGTAATGGAGTGAGCTCCCGTTACTTGTCCCAGCTTCTGCCAACCTAGCAGTACGAAAGCACGTAAAAATGCAAGTAGAAAAATAGGAACCACCTTTGGTGGNGAGCCGGTGAGATTTGAACCGCTGAACTGCAGATAACAGTCAGCTGAAGGGGCCTGCAGTACTGCACCCTAACCACTGCGCCACCTCGGCTCTTCCTGAAGCCCTCAGGAAGTCCATTGTACTTTCCAAAGTTTGCTAAGTGACCAGTCCTAGGTTTATCGCCCCAAATAATTAATAATTTTGATCATTCAAAGACTTGAGAATGCCGTGGCTGCCTTCAAAGGCACAAAGTATACTTTGGGGAGCAGGGAAGCGTGCCCATGGCATCTGTTGGCCACTCCTTGACCCAGCTCCATCTTTGTCGGGGATTGCACAGGTGTCCCCCCAATCTTGGGAAAATATGGCATTCGCTATGACAATTCACGATGGCCAACTCTCCATGGTCAACTCTCCGTGACCAACTAACCACAGAACAACTTGCTATGGAACAAGAGCTAAGCTAATATTAAAGAAAGAGTGGAATAGAATCCTTAGAGAAAGGGGCGCAAAACAGGGCTGAAATCCAGCAGGTTTTGACAGGTTCTGGAGAACCGGTAGCGGAAATTTTGAGTAGTTCTGAGAACTGGCAAATGCCACCTCTGGCTGGCCCCAGAGTGGGGAGGGACTGGAGATTTTGCAGTATCCTTCCCCTGCCATGCCCACCAAGCCATGCCCACCAAGCCCCACCATGCCTACCAAGCCACGCCCACAGAACTGGTAATAAAAAAAAAATAGAATTTCACCACTGGTGCAAAAGGAGGGACAGAATGAACTGCGAACGACAAAAGTTAAAAGAATGTTTTGTTGACGTTAAAAAAATTAAATGGAGCCGTTAAGTTGTTCCATGGTGAGTTGGCCTCAGTGAATTGGCCATCCTGAATTGACTAGGTCTGTGGGACGGAGAGAGAGAGAGAGAGAAAGAGAAAGTCAGGAAAAAGAAAAAAGAAAAAGAAGAGAGCTTTGTTACCATGCGCTTGCAAAGTGCCATATCCACCCCAGTCAGCTTCTCCGTGTAACTCAAGGCAGTAGGTCTGATCTCCTTTGCACGGAATTTTCTCTTCCCACAAGCAGTAGGTACGGTCTTTGGCGAAACAGGTTCTGCATTTCATCCCGTTCAGTGTTTGATTGATAGGGGGCACTGCATTAAAAATAAAAAAAAACCCTGCCTGATTTGCAACAACAGGAGGAAATCATGTAGGTGTGTTGAGCCAAAACAGAGTAACTAACAATATACCATATTTTTCAGAGTATAAGATGCACCAGAATATAAGACGCACCAAGGTTTTGAAGAGGCAAATTTTTTTAAAAAAGGTTTTTGCATTGTTCAAACCTCCCCAAAATGGGCCTGTCCCCCCCAAAAGGCATGAATAACCTTAGGCAGCTTGCAGAGTGCTCCTGGGGGGGTGCCCCCCAAAAAACAAGCAAACAATTGGCCCGTTTTTTGTCAAAAAAATTGCATGCATAGCCTTTAGGAGGCTTATAGAACACTCTTGGGGGATGGCAAAATTGAGCAAAAAACGATCCATTTTTTCCTCATTTCTGCCCTCCCCAGACCCCAGGAGCTCTCTGAAAGCCTTCTACAGGCTCTGCATGGCCATTTTGGTGAAGAGGGCGGGGCTTCGGGAGGTAAAAAAAGCTGCATTCAGTGTATAAGACGCACCCAGATTTTCAGCCTCTTTTTTGAGTGAAAAAGGTGCGTCTTATACTCCGAAAAATATGGTACATTTCTACTGCTCATAATTCAGGCTGGCTAGTGAAATTGAGGTGGTTTGCGTATGCCCTCAGCGTCTCCTAAATAGTGCAAATGTCTTTGCTTACCTGCCTGGGAAACCTAAACTCCATTTGTGAACCACAATTCCTCTTCCTTTTATTCTTTTTTCTTAAAAAAAAAACAAAAAGAATTGAGGTAGTCCGTAACTTGTGACCTTCGAAGTTACATTGGCACTGGGGAGAAAAGACTTATGGCCATTTTTCACACTCACCGATCACTGCGACATCCCCGTGGTTACATGATCCAAATTCAGACGCTTGGCAAGTGACTCATATTTAGGACAGTGTCCTGGGTCACGTGATTTTTGCGACCTTCCGCCAAGCCAACGGAGGAAGGCCGATACACTTAACAACCTTTGCGACTAGCTTAAAAACTGCGGCGATTCACTTAACAGCTGTGGCAAGAAAGGCTCAGTGGAGCAAAACTCACTTCACCGCTATCTCGTTTAGGGACGGAAATGTTGGGCTCAATTGGGGGAGGGTCGTACGTCGAGGACTAACTGCACTGTCTGTGGTGGGGAACAAACTAATTTCTTGCTTACAACACAGTCCTTTCAACGGTTGAGTAGAGAGAGGCATACGTACAAGGAGCCAAAGGTTTTGAGCACGAGGTACCACGGCAACAAGACAGCCTGGATGAGATAATCCCTCTGTCCCCCAGGTCGATACTGGTGATATTCTCATAGCAGCTATTCCCCTGCACACAGGCTTTCCTTACCATGAATTTTCCACCTGGGAGGACGAAGGAGAAAGAAAGGTTTCCATCCTAAATGGTGGTCATGGCTTGACCCTCTCCAACCAGAGACAACTTAACCAGGGGTGGGCCAGGGCTGGTATTCGCTTACCATATTTTTCGGAGTATAAGACACACCTTCCCCCCTAAAAGAGCGTGGAAATGTTGGTGCATCTTATATACACCGAATACAGCCATTTTTTTGGCCTCCCGCATCTCATTTCTGCGGAAAAACTGGTTGCTTTTTTTGCAAAGAAATAGGCTTTTTTTGGCTTCCCTCAGCCCCCAGCAGCCCTCTGCAGGCTTCAGCAGGGCTGGGGCAAGACAAAAAATGCCCCCTTTTGCAAAAAAAATGGGTGAAAATGGGCTGTTTTTCACAAAAACGGAGGCCTTTCTGCCTTCCCTCAGCCCCCAGCAGCCCTCTGCAGGCTTCAGCAGGGCTGGGGCAAGGCAAAATGCCCCCTTTTGTGAAAAATGGGGCATTTTTCACAAAAACAGAGGGCTTCCTGCCTTCCTTCAGCCCCCAGCAGCCCTCTGCAGGCTTCAGCAGGGCTGGAGCAAGACAAAAAATGCCCCCTTTTGCAAAAAATGGGTGAAAACGGGCTGTTTTTTCTTACTTACCTCTTCGAAATCTTGGTGCGTCTTATAGTCTGAAAGATACGGTACTTTCCCTACCAGTTGGCAAATGTGAGTGTGCGTGCATCTACGCAGGCGCTTGGCCTTCCGTGAAGGAGTGTGTGGGCAGGCCCACCCGCCATTTCCACTGCCACTTTGGGCGAACCAGTCTGAACCGGCTGAATACCGCCTCTGGGTTGGGCAACTCATTTTCCCATCAGGGGGCCACATGATAAACTGGGACCGTTGTGTCGGGCCAAACCTTTTCTGCTTACTTTTGTGGTTTTTGGATTGGTAAACACCACACTGGTCTAAGAAAAAATAACACACTTGTTTTTCTCCAGTACAATCTTCCCTGGCTCTTCTGCAAACTTCACACGTTATAGACCAACCTGAAAAGCAAAGGAGGGAGCAAGAGTTGAGTGATTTGTATTGTGTGTGTGTGTGTGTGTGTGTGTGTGTGTGTGTGTGTGTGTATTTTTTGGACAGCGTTAAAATTAGGGTTGCTGCCTCCTCACCCCACCATCCAAACACCCATGAAGGCAAGCTAGGTAATGCAAGGACCTTCGTCTATTTCCCTAGGAAGCACATTTGAAATGGGAGCGTTTGACTCTATCGATAGCGGTAAGCACTTAAGACATATATACCGCTTCACATTGTTTTACAGCCCTCTCTGAGCGGTTTACAAATGTCAGCTTCTTGCCCCCCAACAATCCAGCTCCTCTTTTTGCCTGACCTCAGAAGAGTGGAAGGCTGAGTCAGCCCTGAGCAGGTCAGGATCGAATTCCTGGCTGGGGGCAGAATTTGCCTGCAATACCGCATTCTCACCACTGCACCACCACGACTCCAGATTCCCACAGTATACTTATCCTGATTGCAAGATTTGCACCGGACACGAAGCGATAGAGGCAACGCAAACACGGAAAAGCACATCCACACATCTACGCAAATCACCCCCCAGCTAAGGATAAGATTAAGTTACTTTAACAGGCTGTGAAAATGCCTTCTGAGGTCTTCATAGGAGCTGGTTTGAGACTTCGGGACTGAATTAATTCATGTTCTAGGTATGAAAATTGAGCAAAAGGGGAGTTGGGTCTAGTGGTTAAGGCATCTGGCTAGAAAGCAGGAGACTCTGAGTTCTAGTCTCGCCTTAGCCATGAAAATTGGCTTGGTGGCTTTGGTCCAATCAGCAGGAGGTGGTGAGTTCTAATCCCACCTTAGGCAGGAAAGCTGGCTGGGTGGCTTTGAGATAATCAGAAGGAGATGGTGAGTTCTAGTCTCCCGCCTTAGGCATGAAAGCTGGCTGGGTGGCTTTGGGCCAATATCCAGGAGATGGTGAGTTCTAACCCTGCCTTAGGCGTGAAAGTCAGCTGGGTGATTTTGAGCCATCCAACAGATTTCAAGAAAGAATGCCAAAATCTTAAGACGATGCCTGCAGAGGAATTCTGGGAGTTGAAGTCCACCCATCTTAAAGTTGTCAAGGTTGAGAAACATTGACTTAGCAGGATGCTTCTAAGGAGTTTTCCTTACCTTTATCGGTGAGGTATAGCAGCATTCCCACAATGCAGCAGCGCAACGTAAGAGAAGGCATTGGAGATCGGCAATTCCACTGGCTTCGATCTTGGGGCGGAGAAGACGTTTTTGGGGGATGGTCAATCCCTAGTCTGCCAGACACGGTAAAACCAACTATTTCTCTCCTCAAAAGAAAAGAAAGACAATACAAATGAGATTCTCATATTATGGGATGCAAATATGCAACATGCTTGGCTGCATGTAACTGGTTGTCTATGCAAAGGNGCACCCATAATGCAATGCACATGCAACACCCCCCGCACTCCTGCGCATGTGATACCCTGTGCGCCTCTCTCCCCTTCCATATGTGTCACCCCACATGCCTCGTTTTGGGCCTAGTAGCCCCCCACTACAGCCTCCTAAGACCAAAAATGGGCACAGCACCCCCCATGCTCCTCCCCATGCATGCCCCCATCCCCGCACATGCACGCATGACCCCCCCTTGTGCATGCGCATGTGCCTCTTACATTCACGCCACCCAGCCGCGCATACGCCGCAGAGATTTAAAAACCAGCTGGCTGGCAGGAGGGGTGAGTGACATGCGCAGTGGAGCTGAGCTTGGATGACAGCTCGCATGCCCGCAGAGAGGGCTCTGCATGCCATGGCATGTGTGCCATGGGTTCGCCGTCATGGGTCTAGCCTCCAATGTCCCTTCCAAACTCTGTTGTTCCCTTTTTCTGACCTGTATCTTGTTGGTTTTTTTTTTCTGCAGATCCCGGAGACATCGCTTATAATATCAAAGGGTGCACTTCTTCCTGTCCAGAACTGACCTTGAGCAATAGAACACATGAAGAACGTAGAAACGAACTGATAAAAGTTGAATGTACCGACGCCTTCAAAACTGTACCTTCCAATTAATACTGCCACCATTCTGGAATCGGAAGGCCAGCAATTTCATCCAACAGAACCATTGGAATGGCTCTGAAAGGAAAACTGATTCTTCCTGCTAACTAATTCTTAGAAATTAAAAGTAAATAAAGAAAAGAAAATAAAAGAAGCCAAGGGGCTGTGTTGGATTGCCCATTTGTCTTTATTTTTATTTTTATTTAATTTTAGTTTTGGCTTTCTTCCCAGAGAAAGTGGTGTGGTTGGAATGATTGTGTGAAAGCTAATCTTTGATATTAAAAAAAAATCCCATTCATTTCAATTATTTTATTTATTTGATGGATTTATAGCCTCCTTACCTGTAGACCTGTGTTTCTCAACCTTGGAAGCTTGGAGATATATGGACTTCAATTCCCAGAAAACTGTTAAAACAGTGTTTCTCAAACATGACTATTTGAACTTCAAGTCCCAGAATTCCCCAGTCAGCATAGGGAAAAAGAGAGAGGCAATATCCCAAAAACAGTCCATGTTCTTTCCAACAATACCATGGGGTTAACTTTGTACTTCCTTCCCCCCAAAATATATTTAAAAGAGCTCTTCTATCCCCAAAAGTATCATTTTAGAAATATGATTGGACAGAGATTCAACCTAGAAATAAGGAGAAATTTTATTACAGTGAGAACAATCAACCAATGGAACAGAAGTTTCCTTCGGAAGTTGTGGGAGTTTCATCACTGGAGGCCTTCAAGAAGAGACTGGACTGCCATCTGTCAGAAATGGTGTAGAGTCTACCACTTGGGTGGTGGGTTGGACTAGATGACTTACAAGATCCCCCCCCAACTCTTGTTAATCTGTTTGTTATCTGTTAAGATACGCATCTCTGCTGGCTGAGGAATTCCAAGAGTTGAAGTTCACACATCTTCAAGTTGCCAAGGTTGAGAACCATTGCTCTAGAAGCCCAAGGAGATATGCATAGCACTCCCTCTTCTAATTTTTCCTTACCGCAACAACCCTGTGAGATAGATTGATGGAGAGAAAGCAAATAGCCCGAAGTCATTCAGTGAGATGGTGGTAGTTTTTTTTTGCCCACATCAATACAGGACATTTATTGGATGGAAACCATGTTCATGGCCAACTTGAAGGGTGAGGGATGGTAAAGGACTAGGAATGCTGGGACCAATAGTCAACAACATTGATGATTGTCTAGGATACTTATTGTTTTGGCCATCAGGGTCAAAGGTGGGATATGTCTAGGATGATGGCGTATCTACAGTTTCTAACCAGAGGTCAGGCTGGGAAGGGAGGAGAAAATACAAACGAAAAACTGGTATAGACATCCATATCACACCACTCAATGAAGAACTTGGTCTCAAGTATGAATAACAAGACTCACTTGTATAGATTTCAAACTAGCTACTTTATTGTTCTATGCTTATTCTACAGGAATCTTCTCAGACTGGCAGATTTACCCTGGAAAGACTAGATAGGGCTCAACGGGCATGGACAACTAGCCCTCTTGTGTTTATGTAATGAGTCTAGGCTAATTCCTCATTTGATCTCTCCTCTCATTTGGGAATGGCTGCTCTCCAACACCAGTGGTTAGCAATGTCTGGAGGAAACCAATAACCTTTATACAATGAAAGACACCCATCAACTTGGTCACTACACATGTACACTCACACCTCCAGCAACGATGAAACAGGATCTCCCAGCTCCCAACGACCCAGGCGAGATGTTGATTTTTTCCCCAAAGATGTATTCAATTCATTTATATAGTCTATATGACCTACATTAAAAATAAGTAAAATGTACCTAAAGATATCAAAACAAACCAAAGAATACAACAAGCCAAACAAAAAATCCTATAATGGCCATCAACATAACCAGGAAACAGGTTGTGTAATACACAACCGGGTTGAAAAATACTGCTCTACACAATGCAAACGCCCTTCATCCATCACGTGTCAACGTTCGCTTCCCTTAATGCTAGCCTCCAGGGCCCTTGCCTTGCTCCTTCTGGAGGGCTACCAAGATGCCAAAGAAACCACCCCTTATACAATTCATAAATAGAACTCAATGATCTGAGTTCTTCCTATTCTGTCGGGACTATGACCTGCCTAAGGCCTGAAGAGGCTGCCCAGGAGAAAAAGTCTCCGGCAGGATTCAGGTGCTGGAGGGCGAGCCCTCAAGTGTAGATCTCCACAAGTAAGAGTCCAGCAAACGCTTGGAAGAAGAAGCCGACGCTGTGGGATGGAACCGTTGTGTCTTTTGAAGTGGCTGGCGCGCAGCGTCCTCCGCCCATGAGAAAGAGGGTGGCAAAGTAGACAGATCCCTCATGGAACAGCTCACAGAAGGCGGGGTTCACGCAGCCCTGCATGGCAAACAATACCTTGCTGGACACATCCTCTGTGGAGACAATTGCAAAAAGTCACCTTCGGTCTCTTCCCCCCACACCCAGCCTAGCCAATGAACTTAACATCCCACATCCTGCCTGCTGTGATAGTGCTGTTATAAAGTTATTATTATTTACTTTATTCATTAAACATGAAACTCAGCCAACTGAACATTCAAAAATGCATTGCAAATACCGGTGACGGTTCCACCCCAAAATCGCGGAGGACAAAATCGACGAAAGCGCGCATTTGATGTCATCACAGCGCAACGAAAACATCGCGCTGTGATCGAAAAATGTAAAAATAAAGTAAATAATAATNGTCTTACCAGTATATTTTCCCCATCCATAGTTGCAGTATATCTCCTAATTTTAAATTTCTTCTATCTGATTTATATCCCCATTACTGTGGAACCGGTGGGTGGTTAGAAAATTTTACTACTAACAGAGATACAAAAGTGGGTGGTAGGTATAAAAAGGTTGACTACCCCTGTGTTAAACAGAGCATGGTACCCATTCTCCTGCTTACTAATCAGTAATGGTGATATAAATCAGATAGAAGAAATTTAAAATTAGGAGATATACTGCAACTATGGATGGGGAAAATATACTGGTAAGACTAGAGTATGGCAAGACAGGCAATAAATAAATTTAATAAATACAAATTTTTATAATATGAAATTTCTAATTTTTTGCTCTGAAAAACCTATATAAAAATTTGCTTTTTTATCTAGTAACACAATACAGAAATTCTGCCTTTATTCTTTAGTAACATACTGAATATTTCTCCTTTTAATATATAAGCTGGTTTAGATATATGTTTGTATTTAAGTAAAGTTCTCATTTAACAATATCAGAATTGTGTGGTATCTAAGTTTGTGACTGCCAAAGAAACCCAACAATGTTAAAAAGAGTCTAAATTAATAGCAGGTATCTCCTCAGGAATTACTTTGTCCATAAAAACTAAAACTCTTCACACTAGAAATGGCAAATTAGGCTCCTAAGAGCAAGAAAGCTGTCTTATCAGAAGTATTTACATCAAATATTTTTATTCTATCTCAAGGAACAGATATATTCACTATAAAAATTTTATAACTTCCACTGGAGGCCAAACCTGAATAATAAATCATTTGCATTTATTATTAAAAATGAAAATCCCATTCTGACTTAACTAGTACAAAATGAAAAGGGATTGCAAGCTAAAAGAGTTTAGACAATAAAAGAGGCTTTACAAGAAGCATGCAGGCAACCTTTTTCAGCCTCACACCCATATTAAACTTTGGAGTGCTCACTTGGGCATTTGAGAAGGAATGAGGAGAGATTGTAAAACTATTTTGGACTAGTTCAAATTTTAATTACATTTAAATTAAATTCAATATAACAAATACGGCCAATATAATTACACTAAACATAAATGAATATTTTCCCAGTTTGAGAGCAACGTCTACAGAGTCTCAACATTGTTCTCATGCCATAACTCACCTGGAGGTTCTGTCAAGTGGATCTGCATGACTGTAATCAGGCTGGCATCCAAGTAATCCGTCTCAGGTTCCTTGGTGTAGAGAATCTCGACTGGGTATGTCCTACCAGGAATGGTAAAGATAGGAGCCTCATAGAAATACTGAGAGAATTTAACTGCATCCAGTGTAGCTGAGGTCACTATTAATTTCATGTCTTGTCTCTTCTGAACTGTCTGCAAAGAAAAAATGGGGCACATTAAAAAAAAAGATGACAGAATATAAACAGAAGGATCAATATATGGTTGAACCTCAGGACAAACTTGCTGCTTTGCTTTCTTTGAGCAATTTTTTGCTTCATCATTTAAACATTGTGGATGATTTGAAAGAGTTCATACCTTTTTCAGGAGACCAAAGAGTACATCCGTATGTATAGTGCGTTCATGGGCTTCATCCAACATTATGATTGCATACTGTGTCAGATCTGGATCAATGAGGCACTCGCGAAGCAGCATCCCATCTGTCATGTATTTGATCACGGTTTCAGGACTAGTGCAATCCTCAAATCGAATAGTATAACCAACCTTAAAAAAATACAGCAAAATTAGTATCAATGATGAACATCTTCACTCTTAAAGAGTGATATTAAGGTCAGTTTGTTTGGAGGCAGGAGGTACAAACAGAACAACCAGCCTTTAGTTTGGTGGTACATCTAGAATTTGAGACTTCGTTATGGACCCACTTATAAAAATCACTACATGGTTGAGAGTTGTCTTTTACAACATGGCTGCTCTACTAAGTCTGGCCAATTACAAATACCCACTATGAAGCAACGTACCTACCCCTTCTAGCCCCACGGGATAGCAGACATCTTCAATTGGCAAGGCAGAAAGATCAAGAATAGAATTCCAAGAACATAAAAATTCATCTCAGTAGTTTTATTGCGAAAAAACTAAAGAAGCCATCTTGGAGGAATTCCAGCAACTGCTATGCATCATATGCCAGCCCTATTTATTCTTTCAAGAGGGAGACTGAGTTTCTATCTGTTTTTTATTTAGTAATGGATACAGGCTTACTTCTGATCATGAGAACGAGTTCTCACATAGAGTATTCATTGCCACTCAAGTTTATTTTTTTTTAATTTTTTTCTGAATAGGTGGGATATTTGAATTACAGATGCATATCTTATTTTCTAACAACATGCTTTATCAATTTCTCTAAATTTCACAATTTAAGAACCACATCACATAACTTCAGAAAGTATAGTTGTTGAAAGAAGTAAAGTTTGTAGTCTTTAAAATTTGGGGGAAAATCAACAGTCAGATGATAATTTTCATAAAATAAGATATTCATGTTTTGCATATCTAATTGAAATAAATTATGTAAATTAACATTCAAAATAAGCAAACTGCAGAAATCAAAATATGCATTTCTTTCAAATTAACCAAATGAATCTTTTTTTTAAAAAAAATCCTGCATGATTCTCAAAATAACAGGTAGTAACAAACGGGGAAGAAATTTCTGAGAAAGAAAAGTGATTACTGTGTACAAGCCCAGATCTAAATTCTAATGAGTAAATTCTCCTATCTATAAAGTTCAAGGAGAAAGTTTTGTCATGGCTAATTTAGAGTGAGTGAAGTAGCTTGTATAAATTTGTTGAAAACAGTTAACTTTAAAATTAGCAGCTTTAAAATCTTGTTATATTCCTTTCCCCCCCCCCCCCCAGTACATTGCAGAATTAATTCACAAAAGAAGCAGAATACATCTTACCTCTTGTCCTAGACAACAACCAAATTCTTCTGAAACCCTCTTAGCAACAGACATGGCAGCTACCCGACGAGGCTGAGTGCAGCCGATCTTCCCACGGGTGGTGTAGCCAGCTTCAGCAAGGTACTGTGTGATCTGTGTAGTTTTCCCAGAGCCAGTCTCACCAATGACAATCAGAATCTGGTTATCATGAACTGCCTGAAAAAAGTAGGGTGAAGCATTGAAATCGTCTCATTTAAAAGAGAATGGGTGTTCAGGAGGAATCTGGTTGGTGTTTGCTTTTAAAATCAAAACCATAGCCACCACAGTGCAGAAAACAAACAAGTAGAAGCATGAGTGTATCAGATCAAGATGAGTAATTTGTTAATTAATCTTACAGATCTTGTCTCAAATTTGGGTTCTATTAGAGATAAGAGGGGAGGAAAAATAAATTGACCACACTGAAAAATACAGGCAAATCTGGGCAGGATTTTCAGTGATCAAATCTCCTATACAATAGTTTGAAGTTTTAGACTAACTTACTTAACCACAGGGTAAGGAAACCTGAAGGCTTCCAACTGTGAATGAAATACAACTTCCATCATTTTTGCACCAACAGCACCTGGGAGTTCTGGCTAAGCAATGTCAGGACAGACACAGTTTGCAATAGCTTATTTTTTCATTACTTTCTTACTGAGAACTATTTAGTCTTCAGATGTCATCTTGGATATTTGATAAAAAGCAGAAAAAATATTTAACAAATAAAAACCCAACTTCCCTTTGAGTAAAGTTTCATTCTGGTGATATCATGAATACATCAATGCAATTGTCCTGAAAACAATAGCCTTTTCGTTTCCCTTCTGTTTATTTCCTAGTGTATAGCCCCGTTTCTCTGAAGTGATCTTCCATTCATGTAATAGTGAGAAATGACCGTGCTTAGCATCTCAACCAAAATGTCAGCAAGGTATTACCACATGCTAAGTGCATATTTGATAAATGAAAACAATGTATTAAATAATTACATCAAAAATCCCTATTTCAAGATTTTTGAACACAGGATTCAAAGATTAAGTAAAATTCAATGTATGTCCAGATTAGATGACTAGGAATAGGCAAGATATTGGATTTAATGATCCTTACTATGATTCAAGTCAATTGCTTTTCTTAAAGATTTACCTGGATAAGTTGATCTTTCAGACGAAAAATTGGAAGACTTTCTCGCTGTTCAATTATTGACAGTTGTGTCTTTTTTCCATAAGAAGCCTTATTGCCTCCAAAAGCATGCTTCTTCCATTCAGGTATGTCATTGGGCATCATGCCAATGCCCCGCATGTTGGCTGCAATTTGCCTTCCATCCACTGGGAAGGAGGGAAGAAAAACCATGAGTCTGAGATTAATATTGCAGTATAAAACAAATGATGGGATGCACTAGAAAGGGATAGTCATTGAAGGAAGGAACAAGAGTCATCATACAAACAGAACTATATTGAGAAGATTTATATTATATGTTGGTTTGCTTCATTTGCCCTGTTCTGACTATCCATTGCTCAGGTGGAATTCCAAACTGTGTTTGAATAACACACTTAACAGAATGAGAGACAATCCTGATTTAAGATAATCTCTAATCTAAAGGAAGGACCAAAAAGATTTGTAGGATTACAATAAAAAATATATTCCAAAACCAGTGTTACCCATGAGAGGTTTCCAACTTCTGTTGAAGCCAATACTGGAATTCTTTTCTACTCAATATACGTGAGACATAGTATGCATGCACATACATCTGCCAGAAGTAAAATTATTTCAAAAAAGGGAAGGACCAGAAAAGAAATTGTATTAACTTAATAAGTTAATGTATTAACTTAATCACAATTGAAATAATTAATTGGTAGTTATTTATTGCATTACAATAATAAAGTATTTAGAGTCTGACTCTGATCTTGAATCTGATATTGCTCCAGCTGGGAACTGTCAGCCTTAGGAATCACTAAATCAGCATCCAATTAAAGCTGATACGTTACAGGCATTTCCTGTTCAGCTAGAGCAATCAGATGCTGAGGCACAATCCCCAAACCCTAGGTTTAGAGTATACAGAGGATAGAAGAATAATGTTTCTCAGTGAGGCTTCTTGCAAAATGAAGGGCAAGACATGAGTGATTGTAATTAGCTGGCAGCATCCTGCGCTGGCAGTCCTTGTTGGAGATAACGATTTGGCTATCCAGCACCTGAATTGCATTCCTGCTTCTTGTTTGTGACTCTTGACCTTTGGCTTAACTGATGAGCTGACTTGGCAACCTGGGACTCTTATTTTGGACTACAGGTAGTGCTTGACTTATGACAGTAAGGGAGTCTGCCATTTCTGCCATGCGTCATCACATTTTTTAAAATCAAGGCACCCACATGACTGACAACTTTACAACTTTTTTGCAGCAGAGTAAATGCTGCAGTCATTAAATGAATCAATGTATATCCAAGGGTCCCTTTTTTTAACCTGGAGCAGAAGGCCAGTTTCCAGCAAAAAGTATTGTAAATTGTGTCACATCTGTGCAGAATATTGCAATTGTTTGTAAAGGTGAGCTGGTTGCTAAGCATCTGAAATGCAGTCATGTGGGGAGGAAAGCAGCCATCAGAATGCCAAAACTAGGTGGCAAGTATCTTTGGGTAAGTTGTCATAACTTTGAACGGTTGCTAAACAACTGGTTATTAAGCTAGGACTACATTATTGCTTCTTGGACTGTCTTTGATTGTCTTCTGACAAGCATTCTTTATTAGGCATTTGAATCACATTCCTGTCTGCTGTTATCTGGCTAAACTGCAATATTCCTGCTTCCAAAATACTGTTTCTATGTGTGCTTGTCAGAAATCTTGAAACAGAGAATCTGTTAAAAGTAATTGACTCTCCACATGCCTATTATTAACCATTTTCTCAGTTACTTTTATATGCAGAAATATAACGTATGTTTGCCTGAGCCGTATTGGCACAGTGATTAGAATGTAGTACTGCAGGCTACTTCTGCTGACTGCCAGCTGCCTACCATTTGGCAGATCGAATCTCACCAGGTTCAAGGTTGACTCAGCCTTTCATCCTTCTGAGGTGGGTAAAATGAGGACACATATTGTTGCGAGCAATATGCTGACTCTGTAAACCGTTTAAAGAGGACTGTAAAGCACCTCTCTTTACACCTCTCTTAGACTTTATATAAGTCTAAAATGCTATTGCTATTGCCTACAAATATATCCTTCCATCAGAAAAAGAGAAGAAAGTATGATGCAAGTGGAATAATTTGGAGAAATAGCTGCATTAGAAATATAAAAGAAAACAGTAGGGACAAAACTGGCAAGGGAAGCTGAAGAAGAAAGGAAAGTGAGAAAAGAAAGATTTATGTGTTACAAAGAAGTTATTTTCAGTAGATGAGCACCTCTCATACTATCTCTATTTAATGGCAGCTAAGCTTCCCTTAGCCCAGCAATCGCGAGTCTTTTTTGGCTCACGTGCCATAAAGGAGGGGAGCACAGGGGGGTCGTGTGCGGGCATGCCACACCCATAATGCAACGCATGACCCCCCAGTGCGCATGCGCACATGAGATGTCTCCTCCATTTTCTGCATGCTTTTTTCACCTCCCCCCCCAGGCTCCAGAGGCTTTATAGGAGTCTGGGGAGGGCGAAAACAGCCCCCCCGGAGGCTTCAGGGATCTTCAGGAGCCTTCCCTGAAGTCTACGGAGGGCAAAAAATGACCCTACGAGCAAACCAGAAGTCACTTCCAGTTTGCCCGTAGAGTCGGCTGAAGCCTCTTGAAGGTGCCTGAAGCCTCCAGAGGACTAAAAAGTACCCTACAAGCAAACCAGAAGTCCATTCCCGAACTTTCAGTTTGCCCATAGTTTTGCCCATGGATTTTGCGCTCCGGACGCCTCAGGGAAGCTCCTGAAGCCTCCGGGGGGCCTTGGGGGGGACTCTTTTTGCCCTCCCCAGGCTCCTATAAAGCCTCTGTAGCCTGGGGAGGGTGAAAAATGGCTTTAAAAAAGGCTGCTGGCCAGCACGTGCATGCGCGCTGGACAGCTGACAGGGCAATGCCTCATGTGCCCTGACAAATGCTTCCATGTGCTATCTGTGGCACGTGTGCCATAGGTTCGCCATCCTGGCCTTAGCCATTCTGTATTTTTTTCAGCAAATGTAAGATCCTCCCTTTTCCATGCTCAAAAATAATTATGGTAGGGGAAGACACTATGTTCTTCTCATTTTGTTAATATTTGAATGGAATGGTGGATGATGGTGGGTAAAAGAGGCCCCAGATTGTTGGAGACAATATGCTGACTTTATAAACAGCTTAGAGAGTCCTATTAAGCACTCTGAAGCAGTATATAAGTCTAAGTGCTATTGCTATATCCATACGGAGACACTATAGGGCCACTTCGGGCACGTGTGCCATAGGTTCGCCATCACAGTTCTGTTTCATAGTAGACTAATGGGGGAAAATACTGGGCAATTTCACAAACTAGAAGCAACTGTTTTGTCAAGCAGATTTCCTACCATGTTGTGTGTATTTAGATTTGAAATAAATATGAGTGTTAGATTGTTTCAAACAAATTGCTTGTGGAAGGCAAATAATACTGCAAAAAGGTTTGGAATTACCATCTGGAAGGGGATCCACCCAGTGTTTGTTGAGCCCCATGGGAATAGAATCCATCTCTGCTTCCCGCTGGGCTTGCTTCAGTTCCCGCCTCTCTTTAGCAAGTGCACTTTGCATCATGGCTGCTTGAGACAGGGAGCCATCAGGATTCTGGAATCAACAAGAAAATGTTGTCTTACTTCTTTCTTCAGATTTCCTGAATCTGATCCTGATTGATTCTCAACCATCATCCAAAACATAAATGAATAGGAAAAAAGCAAGGAGAACTTGACAGTCATACACAATTTTAACAGTGAAAAGGACAAAGTCAGAAAACAGAATTAATGTGGGTTTTTTTGTAATTTGTTTAACTAATGTTAATTAAAGTTCTGTTAATGGCCATTAACAAAAACAATGAAAAAGAGATGAACTGCTGAGATTCCTGGAACTGATGTAAATAAGGGAAAGATAATACTGTGCTTTGCGGAAGAATATGATGGGAAAGAGTATTAATTTGTTTTTAATCCCCTTTCTTTGTCCTTCTGTACTTTGAATGCCAAAAGCATTTTAACTTTTCACGAACCCATCTGAATCCAGTATTCAAACATTTCTATGGAGAGACCCAAGAACAGTATTTTTTTACCTTCACTATTTTAATGGGGCTCATGTCCATGCTCTGTTTTGTATGACCTCGCAGAAACGGTGGTTCCTCTTCTACCAATTCAATTTCCAGATCCTCATCTAGGGTAACAAATTAAATTCAGCTCCAATTTTAATTTAAAGTTTCTTAGTTATGCAAACCAATTACTCCACACTTTATTTACCATCATACAAATCTAACCATCATACACTTGTGGTACAACATTCTTTTCTATTGCCGAACAGCCCCCCCATAACTTTATTTCAATACAACCCACAGTTTTGGACTCTGGATTGCTAGAGATAGAAAGATTATTAAAGAACAATCTCTCTTCCATAATATGAAGGTATCTTAAGCAATTACCTGAACTGACAGTAATCTGCTGAAAAGAATCTGAATTAAGCATTCCCAAATTCAACACAAATGAGGAGCAAAAAGAGTAACTACTTTGTGAAACACACTGATGCATCATATCTAGACCATTACTGTATCTATCATGGTTTTACCTTCCTCATCATCAACCTTTGGCAAGATTCCAGTTTCTTCATCAAAGTCAGGAAACTCCTCCTTGGAAAGCACGTTTGCAGCAATCATCTAAGAGTGAGGCAAATGGTTATATGTATCCTCAAAGACACAACAAAGAGGTACTACTTTTTCTAAGCAGATTTTGTAAAAAACAAAAACCATTCTTTTCCTATTGACATAGAATCTTTCAAAGAACTGCCAAGGACCACAGCAACTATAACAAAGTTGTCATGTTCAAAGCCTCCCTTTACCAATTTGAGAATGGGTGAATTTGGGATTGTTCTGTGTTATTTGCTTCAATGAGTATTTGAAAATGCAATAAATTATCTTAATGCTGTATAGCAGCAACATAAATCCCAGATTCCTGTAGGAAGGACTTTTAATATGAAAAATATCATAGCTAAGGAAGCTACCCAGATTTTGTAGTCATCTATTCAATTTCATTTCACGGGAGTATGAAGTATCTCATACAATGGCCTAACAGGAAACAGTACGATAGGAAAGTTCTGCCATACTACTTATACCATCTTAGAAAAGAGGAGAAGGATTTCTCAAGATGACTTACTACATACAGGGAATCCTCAGCTTATGACTAGTTGCTTAGCAACTGCTTGAAGTTAAAAGAAAGGTCCCCAAAACTACTGATAACCCTGTATCAAAGTTACAGCCACTGCAAGGTCCTCACAGTAATTCACTCTTATTTCATATTCCAACTACAGGGAACTGTAATGCCCCCCGCCAATCTCCCTCACCGTCCTGCCCTGCAAGCTTCAGCTCCTTGGACAGAAGATGGGGAAGAGGCCCACAGGTTCCCTCAGGACGTAGGCCTCCTCCCCTCTCCGGTCACAGATTGCACATTTATCTTTTGAAAATTTCCAGAGCTCTGGACCTCCCATTGGGGAAGGAGCAGTTGTAATTTCATTGAATAGCCTCATTGTTTCCCTAACCCAGTCTGCACAGCACTGCCATGGTGGTCTGGTCACACTGCGGCTTCTTCTATGATATGGCTGCATGGCCCAGAAATGCTGAGGGAAGCCCTGTCATTCTACCCCAATTTGAGGTCCAGAACTCTAGAGATCTTCAAAAGATAAGTGCACAATGGGTGATGGGAGAGTGCAGAAGAGGCCCAAATCCTCTGGGGACCCAGTGAAGGGAAAAGTAGACTCAAGGACTGTGTGGTCTTAAACAAGACAAAGATTAATTTGCATAATAGTAAGCACTTCAATCCACTATCCGACTCTCATATTATACAGAGCTTTAAAAGTTATACAGAAGACTAAATTGGATATCAAAATGTAAAGTATGATAAATGAAGCTTAAAATAACAAAATTAGCATCCTTATTAATAAGATGTATTCTCTGGGCAGTCTCAAATGTAATCTAGTTATCACATTATTTACCAGTCATGGTTTCCAAATAGCCTTCAATGGTCATCATTATCACCTACTGCAATAGTTAAGCTAGATGGCTTTATTAGAAGATGGTAAACAATGGCCAAGATTTATGATCAGCTGACAGTCTAGACCAGAATCGCAGGATACTAAGTTGGCCATTGATTCATATTGGAATATCCAATTTTCTTAGAAAATGACTGAAAAGCCTGCTTTGGTATCAATAGGAGGAAATACAAATATGTATTTAAAAGAAAATCTGTTAAAATCTTGGGGTTTTTGTTAGCTGTCAGGTCCGAATTGGGAGATGAATTCCACAGGCTGCTTAGCAATTGCAAAATGTTCTGGAGTTTACAGCAAGAAAAAGTTACATATTTCATAATGAAAATTATTACCTGCTTAATTTCCCATTTTTCTGGATCTGAAATACGAGTGAGACGCTTTCGTTCTAACGTGTCATCTTCTACTTCAGGAGCACTGACCAAAGATAAGTGAGTGGGCCTGTCTGGATTTCTCATGGCTGTCTCTTCAGACTCTCCAATAAGGTTGCGACGTCTATTTGGGTTCAAATCTTCTCCTGTCTCTTGATCTACATCCTAATACAGACATGGGAGACAGTTCCATAGTATAAGAAGAATTTACCTTTGTATAAGGGCACTGAGAGTTTAGTTCTGTAAACTAAATATTCCCAAATGAGCAATTTACAACATGTCCAATAGTGACCACAGCTGCATCACATAACAGAAAATAGCAGGAGCTTCTATACTTGTAGCTATATAATTAGACAATAATCTGGTAATAATGTTGGTCTGTGAACTTGCATAATGCTTTGGAATAGCGTCAATTACACTTTTTTCATTGTATTATTAATTAAATAGTATTCATAATATAGCAAGAGAGGGGAGATAAGGAGTTTTGACAGTCTTTTTAAAATAATATTTGGGATATCTGATGGATATGAGGGTTTTTTTCTGAATCTTAAAATCCTAAGAAATATACTAAAAATTATTTAAACAACCCCCTTGTTAACAGTCCAACTTTTTATATCAACATTCCTAATAACCACTTTAGTGATAGTTTATTTAAAACTCTAGATTCAAAGCCATCTACAACACATTCTGAAATTAATAGTACTTCAAGACTTTTATACATTAGCATCCTGACCAAGCAGTGAAATCAAGAATATGTTAAATATACTGCCATTAGCCATTTTAAACAATTCCTCTTACAATAACTCAAATGTTTTTTTTAAATAGCTTGACAAATAAATTGAACTAAATAATTAATGCTGCTACTCAGCCATTATTTTCAAAAAGGATAAAAAAGAAACACCTTCATTTTTCAAGTGGTGATTAACGCAGCACATAAATCTGTCATATAAATAACAGTTTCTGTTCTAACATCACACAAATAGCAGGAAATACAAAAGAGCTTTGGCTAAAAATCAAGTTAAGTTTCTATTTGTTTCTGATGTTAAAATGTCATAGCTGTCATACAATATTTTCTAATTGTGCTCATGGTGGTTTGTATTTCACCCATTCCACTGAGAAACTGAAATCAAAACAATAACAGATCTAAAAGTCAGCAGAGTAAAAGTCAAATTATCTAATAGACAATAGAGAGGTCTTAACTTACTTTCATGCTAAGGCTAGTTTTTGAGCCAGTGAAGGAGAGTACTTTGACCTTGACCCGCTGGCCCTTGCTCACTACATCAGCCACATTAGCAACTCTTCCTTCCCTACGTAATTCTGAGATGTGGACCAGTCCTTCCCAGCGTTTCCTAAAGGAAGTAAGGCCCAGGAAGAGCAAGAATAACTCAGTGCTGTCTTCTACCAAAAGCACAAAGTATTTTAGAAACATGAGTTCTTCCATAGTAATACTATTAGCTGACATATTTGATTTATATTCTTAACCTTTAAAAAGTTGCTTAAAAATTAATCCTTAAATATTTACAAGAAGCAATTGACTCCTACATAACTTCCCTGACTATTGGTTAATGGCTTCAGTTAAAGTGTAAGGCAATTTTATAAAAACTGCCAAACAAGCCTTAAAAATAACATAAAATCTTTCTTTAGGAGTTAACATATATAATATACAGCACTGAAATCATAAAAATTCAAATAGTTTGTAGCAATGGCTACATTACACTAAATATACTAAAAAGACTGCTTAACTTATAATATTTTTTAAATTGTATCGATTCTCAGCAGAATAGGAATGATACCTGAGCCCTTCAAGCTGAACAAAACATCCAAACTGCATGATGCTGGTAACTTTGCCATTGTAGATGTCACCAATGGAAGGCTCTTCAGGTGGAGGGCGGTCCACATGCTTATCCCTCCATCTTTCACTGCTTTTCTCACCAGCTCTCTCTCTTTCTTTGTGGTCCCAGCTAGGACTTCTGCTCCTGGAGCGGTATCTGGATTTACCCTTATGTCGTTCCCGTGTCCGGGAGCGAGAGGGTGATTTTCGTTTCCGCTTTCGATCTCTACTACGACTGCGACTCCTATGCTTTTTCTTGGATCTACCAACAAAACATACTGAAATTATGCTCATTTCTACTTAGATGCCAGTCACTACAGTACAACTTAAAGATGGTTTTATGGATCCCAATAGTCACTACTGCTTGGATGATTACCTATGATGCCCAATGGAAGCTCTTTATTCTTCTACAGTGTTATTTGCCCTTATGTTGTTGTTTTTGCATCAGATATATTTATAACAGTTGCAACTTTATAATACTTTGAATACAGAGAGAAAACAAGCAAAAAACTGCTTCTTATTTCAGACACGTCATTAGATATTAGTGAGCAAGAGACCAGATACCATTTGATTCTATTGCAATAGAAAGGGTGTGTGTGTGTGCGCGCACTTTCAAGTCAATTCTTAATTCCTGGCTACTGCATGGACAAATCCTGGCAGTTTTCCTGATTTTAGAAGGGATTTCCACTGCTTCCTTTTTAGGGCTGAAAATGACTGGCACAAAATCACTCAGTTGGTTTTATGCTTAACATGGTCTAGTACAGTCCAGTCTCCTGGTCTAGAAGCCTCTTAACCACCATACCAAACTCACACTTGATGTAAAGCTACTACGGAAGAATATCGATAGCTATTAATAATACAGAAATAAAATCAAAATATTATATTACATCTTTACTACAGACTACATCACTATTTTGCCTAATTTATTTGCAATTCTTTGAAAAGGTGCTTCATCTAATATAAAAATATTAAGCTAGATAATCTAATTTTTAAGGTGAAAAAATTATTTCTTAGAGAAATAAGACAAAGGGAACTCACTGATCTTCATTGTTCCGGTGTTTTTCCTGTCTGCCCGCAGATGGCATTAAAGCTTCTAGCTCTTGGAGAGCATCGGCAGCCACTTTCACATCATCTTCATCCAGCATTGTCTATTCAAGAAGAAGAAAAAGTCCTTAAGGCAGCAAGATATTCCCTCAGCAATTTTCTCAAACCTATACGATGGCAGTTGCCATGTGGTCTTGGGAAATATTAGACATTTTTGTTTTGGGGCACAGCTATGTGACGTTTCTATAAACAGATTTCAGTTCCAGAAATGCAGTGAATGACCAATTAAGTAACATCAACGTGAATAAGTACAATCTGGTACAAACAATACTGAGAAAATGGACTAGATAATAGTCAAATCAAGTTTCACTTTTCTAAGACAACAACACACTATGATAAATCTGCCTAAACTTTCAACAATCTTTTTATTTTTTCCTTAAATATGTTATTTAGTTGTCATATCTTGAAATCCTCACAAGCATTATGGTAAAGGAACAGGTAATCACCTATCTATTGTTTCAGAGGATCCAACAGGATGGGCAGGCTTTGGATCTCTTTTATGAAACTACACCACCAAGCAGGACCCATAATATCTGCCCTCTAGAAAATCAAATTGCACAATATTTGAATAGCCACAACCTTGCTTTTGTAAGACTTTGAAAATCATCCAGATGATGGAAAAAGACCTTGAAAAATACCCAAAGTTATTGGGAGTCAGGCAGCATATAAATACATTATTAATAAAAATATGTTTTCAACTACATTTTAGCCCCAGTGGCTGTAGGGTTTACAGGAGTTTTATGCTTTATATATTTATTATTTTGTTTTGTGTTTTTAATCCTATGTCAGCAGTACACAGTCAAATGTGCAAATTGGACAACCATTAAAGTCCGTTAAGTAAATAAATAAAGTTAATAAACTAATTTCCAAGTAATACTTTGAATAGTCACAAGAAATTCTCAAGACATACATTCAAACCAAACCACTACCACCCCAAAGAGAGAAAGTGATTAAATAACAGATCTCCATCAATTTAAGGCAGTAGACATTTTTCTATTGCTTTGGGGGAATGCATTTTTTATTCATCCTGAAAATATTCTTCATTGGCTACATATAACTTCTTCCCTCCGATGCCCTTTTGACTAAAATTATTTGTGGTGTCTTGCACAGATTTTTTGCTATGTTGCTCCCAATTCTTTTCTCATTCTTACACAGCTGACACTAGTACTGATAGTTCTGACAGGATTTTATATTTATGGTCGTCACAGTATTCTTGCAGTTATGTGATTGCAATTTATGATGCTCCCTGCCAACTTCCCACAAACAAAATTAATGGGGAATCACCCAGAAGGGAGGTCCTTACTTAATAATCTGCATAGTCCTTGCTTAATGATGGACTGTTATTAGTGGCAGTCATGTGATTTTCCAACTTATGACACATCACTTAATGACAGAGTTCCTGCTCTCAGTTAATATCAGTAAGTAAAGTATTCCCAACTTCTTTTACTCTAAATGTATTTGTCAGTAAATAAGGAAACTCACACACCTACCCTGACCATGGGATTATCTGGCCGACACAAGGCTGGAAACAAGTCCTTCAGCTTATCTTTTTCTGTTTTTGGTTTAATAATATCTAATGTGGTAGCAAAAAACAAAACAAAAACCCACATAAATTTAAATGTATTTTTCTTACGTCACAAGAAACATTTCTACTTTTTAAAACTCTTTGAAAAATATTCTTTATTTTTCTTTTCTGCTTGCATGATTTTGCTAGTCATATTGGAAAGCTTGGAAAATGGGAACAGGATAGGAAAAATGATATTTACGAGATAAAGTGTATCCCCAACTATTTACAGAATTTGAAAGAGTTTCCAGAGAGACTTATAATATAGTCACTCTTAGGAATAAGCAACTCAAAAATCTCTACTATCCTACTAAAATGTGGGAATATTTTTTTGCTCACAATTTCACAAAGTGAAAAATTATATTTTCATTTATATATCCCGATTATGTTGTACCATATACCTCTGGAAAGGCAAGTGCTTATTTTTTGAAGGCAACTTTTACTTGAACAGGCTACCTTCATTTTAATAAGATCAAATGTTTGGGATATCAAGGAACCATTCGTTGAAAGTCTGCAAATAATGGCAGCAATCTATTTGCAAGATTAAATAACACAAGAACAACAATCCTTAGAATAATTGATGTAGCTACTCCATAATCTGTTTTGGCCTCTAAACATATAGGACAGGTTTGTCTGTCTGCCCCATTTATTTTAAAATTTTATAATTTCAATGACTTAAAACCAATTTTTAATTGCAACTTTCTTTTCTCAGGTAAACAAATTAATCCACATCCATAAGAATCCATGTATCTTATAATTGATGAACAGCAAAAAATATTAACCTTTGCTAGTGGAAGCTTTTGCAGGAGGCCGCATTGTCTGTATAAGACGGAGCAGATTGCTGACAAGGGAGTCCTAAAATGGTAAAAAAAGAAAAAGAAAACAAATTTTCTAGAAGCTGCAATTTTTTTAGTAAAGTAAAAAGTATGTTAGTAAAGTTTAATAACAATAGAGCCAACATCTCTCCCTAAAGCAGTATTGTACTGTATTTTTTCTCGGTTGATGACACTTTGACCTTATCCACTTAAGAAAGTAAGGGGACAGAAAAAATTTACTTTGAATATTGTTAACATGAATATTTTTATTATATATTGAATTATTTTCTTTTCATGGAATATTAGAGGTTACAATTTGGTAATATGTCTGGAGCTTGTACTCAAGTATTTGGGAGCCTCAGATTATGTACTTCTCATATACCACATGATATCTTCAAAAGATTTTAACAATTCCTTACTGTGAATTCAGCACCATTCTTCACCAGAGCTGTTTTGAAGGTATCAAAGTTTGTATTTCTCTCTGCAAGACTGATCACAAATTCGGCTGTGAAAAATTAAGAGAAATTATTATGCTGAAATTATTTAGACACTCAATTCTACTTTATTCATTTAATTTTATGGTTTCCCATTGTAAGTAACAGTGGCCAATAATCAATTGAAAACAATAAGGAAATAATTTAAAAAACCAACTAAACATCATCTTTAGCATGACTCCTAATCTACATAAAATATTTCTATTAAAATAAGCCCACTAGTATCTTAGTCCAGGTCTTCAATGTCTTAGAAAAGGCTGGCAAGATTGGGAGTATGTTGTTCCAAAGGATGAGCACCATAATAAAGAAGACACACTTTACATATACTATTACATGATGCTGTTTGATAGAAGAGACTTGTAGTGAGGATAGGAAGAAATAGTAGGAAGACAGTGGCACAAAGAACCTGGTTTTGTGCTATGACTAGCTTAATAATTGATAACTAGAATCCTGAATAGCATAGCATAGCAAGAGCAAGGATACTGAAAATTGCCACGAGAACAAGGAGGGCCAGAGAGCATTTATCGCTACATTAGATGAAACCTGGGTCAATAGCAGTAACCTTGAAAGGGATTTTGGAGTCCTAGTGGACAATCAAATATGAGCTGGAAGTGTATAGCAGGAGCCAAAAAAGCCAGTGCTAGGTTGTATTAACAGGGGGATAGAATCATGATCATGTGAAGTATTAGTATTTCTTTAAAACATCTTAGTAAGATCATACTTAGAATACAGCATCTAATTTTTGTCACCATATTATAAAAAAGATGCTGAGATTCTGGAAAGAGTGCAGAAAACAGTAACAAAGATTATTAGGGACTGGAGGCTAAAAAATTAAGAACCGTTGCAGTAATTGGTATGTCTAGTCTAGTGAAAAGAAAGACCAGGGATGACATGATAGCAGATATTTGAGGGACTTGCCATAAAGAAGAGGGATCAAGCTACTTTCCAATATACCTGAAGGCAAGACAAGAAGCACTGGATGGAAACTAATCAAGAATTCCAAACTACAATTAAGGAAAAAAAATCCTAACAGCAGAACAATCAATCAGTAGAATGGCTTGCCTTCAGAAGTTGTGCATGCTCCATTCACTGGAGACTTTTAAGAAGAGACTGGGCAGCCACTAGTCTAGAATGCTATAGGCCCTATTGGGTATCCTGTTTGAACAGGGGCTTGGAATAGAAGACCTCCAAGATCCCTTCCAAGTGCTATTCTGTTATTCTCTCTGGAGATGATCAAGTGCAATTAATATCTCACTACATTCAGGTCTTGAACCTTAATGAAAGGGGATTATATAATCATCTTTTTCCAGGGGTCTCTGAAGTCCAAGCCTTTTCTACATTCTTCAACAAGAATGGAAGGACAAGAATTCTCCAATAGCATTTGGTCCAGCTACAATTTCCTGAGGCTGGGATGAACTATCTCCTCCTTAATTATTAGTGGCACTATGCACTCACTCAAGAACAAAATCACCATGACATGGATATAACTATATATCTCATGGGAGGCCTTAGACTAAAATCTTAATAGAATAAAATATTTTTTATTGACCAAGTGTGATTGGACCCCCAAGTAATTTGTCTCCAGTACAAATACATACAAACAACAAAGTGATAAATAATAAATCATAAAACAATAGTATTAAGTCATTAGAGTTCAATAGGAGATGATAATAGGAAAGGTGAGAAGGATAATAGCAATACAGCGCTACTTTATGGGTAAATATCCTTAGGTATAAGTCAGGGAATTAGGTATTTAAAAGAGCGATGGCATGAGGGAAAAATGTCTTTGTGTCTAGTTGTTTGGCATGCAATGCCGTATAGTGGCATCTTGAAGGGAGGAGTTGAAACAGTTGATGTGAGACGTCTGTAGATACTTTCTCAGCCCTCTTTCCAATTTGTACAGTATACAGATCCTCAATGGAAAACAGGCTAGTTGCAGTTTTTTTTTTCAGTCCTAAGGATCAGTTGAAGTCTGTAGCTATCCTGTTTGGTTGCTGTGCAAAATGAGACAATTATACTAGTACAAATAACAGTATCAATAATTATTGTATAAAACTGTATCAGCAGCTCCTTGGGCAGCCTGAGCTTTCTGAGTTGACACAGGAAAAATATTCTTTGTTGTGTCTTTTTAATGATTCTAATGTAAGATGTCCATCTCAAATCCTTATTGTAGAAGATTATAAAACCCAGAAACTTGAAGATCTCGATTGCTGATACTGTATTGTCTAATATTATAACAGGTGATAAGATAGGAGGGCTCCTCCTAAAATCCACTGTCACATCTGCAGTTTTAAGTGTGTTCAGCTCCAGATTATTCCACTGCACCAAAGGGACAGTTGCTCAGCCTCCAGTCTATAAGCAGATTCATCACCATCTCAAATTAGATCAATGACTGTTGTATCATCTGCAAATTTCAGTATTTTAACAGTACTCTTAAAAATTTAAATTGAGATACCTTAAATACTTAAATTGGGATAGGTAACATTTGCTTCCACCTCTGCCATTGATTGTTAAAGGAACCAGAGCATCACAATTAATTTCTGTAAGCCAGAACATATAAATAGGGCATACATACTACTGATACAAAATAACTCAAGATAACAAACAAGCAATCCATACAACTTGTGTCATGAAAGAGAGAAAATGTTCAGCATAATTAATCAAGCTGACATATGGAAAGATGCAGGACCTGGGATATTAATTTTTGTACTGGGTATCTTGGAACAACCACAATTATGGCGTATTTTCTACATATATTGCTATTCTAACTTCTTTGCCATATAGATAGATAGATAGATAGATAGATAGATAGATAGATAGATAGATAGATAGATAGATAGATAGATAGATAGATAGATAGATATAGATAGATANATAGATAGATAGATAGATATAGATAGATAGATAAAACAAAAACAAACATAAGAAAACCATAATTTTCTATTGATTTAGGGCAACATACAATTCTGCCTCTCCTAGGAAGACTGTTAACAGATGCTCAAAATGCAGTTGTAATTTAACACCGTACTAAAAAGCAGAGACATCACCTGCCAACAAAAGCGTCTATAGAGTCGAGGCTATGGTTTTACCAGTTGCAATGTATGGCTGTGAAAGTTGGACCATAAGGAAAGCTGAGGCTGTGGTGGAGAAGTCCCCGCGAGTCCCTTGGACTGCAAGGTGATTAAACCGACCAGTCCTAGAGGAGACCTGACTGTTCTTTAGAAGGCCAGATCCTAAAGATGACATTTAAATACTTTTGCCACCTAATGAGAAGGAAGGACTCATTGGAGAAGAGCCTAATGCTGGGAAAGATTGAGGGAAAAAGAAGAAGGGGATGGCAGAGAACGAGGTGGCTGGATGGAGTCACTGAAGCGTGAGATTAAATGGACTCCAGAGGATGGTAGAGGACAGGAAGGCCTGGAGGAATGTTGTCCATGGGGTCACAATGGATCGGACACAACCTTGCAACTAACAACAACAAATGTAATACTATGTCAGACTGTTTTACAGGTTCCCTCCATCTTCTTCAGAACCATTTGAAGCAAAACAAGCCTCATTTTTGCGATTGAGTCCTCCAGTAAATAAAAAAGGCACAGCTACCTCACAAGACTGCAATCAAAGAAACAACAAGCTCAGTTGGAAGAAATACAGATGCTCAAGCAGCTCTGCCACAAGAATTCACTGCGCAAAAAAGCAGAAGACCGGGGAAGAAAAGGCGGTGAAGACAGACTAAGGCAGGGGTCTCCAAAGTTGGCAACTTTAAGACATGTGGTCTTCAACTCCCAAAATTCCCCAGCCTGGGAGTTGAAGTCCACAAGTCTTACAAAGTGGCCAATTTTGGAGACCCCTGGACTAAGGGGACCGTGCATCAGGCGCCTGCCAGAACCCACCAGCCACGATACCCCACGGGAGCCTTGGCTCCCCTCTATCCCACTCCTCCAGTCCAAGAGACCTACCTAGATCTTTGTCGTTGATGCCCAGATGGTTGTCGAGCTCCGTGCAAACTTTGGAAACGAGCGACAGATACTCGAGCTTGGCAAGCTCATCCGTAGGATCCGCCATGACGCCCCTAAATATCTTCCCCGTCCAGCCTGTCTCCAGCAACGAACACTTCCGGCTTCCTGTCTTTACACGCGCTCCATCAAGAAGGCTTAGAGAACAAGGCGGATTTTATTCCAACAGCGCCCTCCGACGACCGTCTGGGAGAAGCCTCTGGGGAGGGTTTCCAGTGATATTCCCTCTCGGCCAAGATGAAGTTAGGACGGATTTAAAAAGAGATGCGAATCCGCAGCCATCAGCTCATGGACAACAGACAGGCCTGCGCGATTTCTCAGCTCCAGGATGCAGGAGACCGTAATGTTAATGAGACCAAAGAAACTACTACTCCCAGCATCCCTTGCGATCCAAGCTCCTTCCCGGAAGTGTGCTCTCCGAACTTGATTGGCCGTTCTGGAGGCGATGCGTGAGCATGTGACAAAGGTAGGGGGGAAAGATGGCGGAGCCGTCGAGCGTCTCTTCGGAAGCTCCTTGGGGAGGAAAAGTGAGCGATGCGAGTAGGAAAAGCGAGGGGCAGAATCAACTGTCAAGGCAGACAGTGTTGTTTAGGATATATTTTAGTTGTTTGTTGGGATCCAGTATTATAAAGTAGTAGTCTAGCGTACCTCTCTGAACATAGGAAGGTTGCTTTTTAAAAAATTTTTTGCCGTGTTGAGTTAGCGGTAGAAAGTTGTCTGTATTGAGGAACTCTTACCTTTTCGTTGCCTGTATTTGGGATGGGAGTGATATTTAGGTTGGGTTACTGCAATATGCTAGGCTGAAGGTAGCCAATACATTAGTTTGGTTCAGTGAGCAAATGCAGCCGGTGTGATTGCGCTCTTTGTTGTGCAAACTCTCAACTGGATTAATTGGGTACACGATGGTTTAATAAGCCATGGAGTAATAAGTTGTGTAAACACAGCCACTGGTTTCTCAGGAATATTTCGTGCCAAGATTCGTTGAATTTGGTTTGTTGCATAGATAGCATAATAAAATAGACACTTTAAGATTCTAAAGAGATTACTGAAATTAATAAGACTGTTGCTCCATTGATAGCAGTAGTTTTTTCTGCCATGATAATTAAGATGTGGATGACGATGTTTGTTTATAGGTGAGCTCGTAAATTTGCTGCTGCTTATCTCATTGCAAAACTATCCTATATAAAACAGAAATGAAGACAGACAATATTAAGTTCCCACCTTAAAATTATAGATAGCAAATATAAATATGATTGGGATGCTCAAAACTATATTGAAAAATATTTATCTGAGACTTTATTGATTGCACTTTATTAAGTGTTACTGTCATTAGCATGCTGATAGAACAGAAGAGTAACCAACTTTCTAATTTATATTACTATATTTTCTTTGAGGCAAAGTATTGTTTCCCTCATATCCAGAGTTTGAACTTTATAACTTTTAATGTTGCAACATGTCATTGCTTCCTGTCTTGTTTCTCTATTGCAACAAATTGTGCAAGGGTAAGACTGAAGCATTTTAGGGGATTATATACTTGCATTGTAATTTAACTCTTTTCATAGGGATATTTTTTCTCCAGAGGAAAATATACAAAATGTTGGCTTAATATTGTGAAAATATGCTTTAGTTTGTTGCTCAGAAATAGACCCAAAACTGATGCTATAAATTGGGCTGTTTCTATGTGTATTTATAGGCAGTGCTTACTTATTTTATATATTCTAATGTGACATAATAGTAGATTCATTGAATAGTCACCATGGAGCTTTAAGAGATGCTTAGGGAAATGTATGTAATACAACTCACTGCCTGAGTTATCAAAGTTGAGCAATGGAGAAATGATCTCTTATATTTTCTTTTTGTGATATAATTCAACAGGTTGATATTTCTTATACTGACAATGGGTTGGATTCTGGTAAGTTTTAATCCCTTTATCATTTTCTTTCCCTGCAATTCTTCTATGAAGAATTAATACTAAGGAGTTTACACATTTTAGTTTAGAAGTTAGGAATTATTTATGGTTACTTCCATTTCTTATTTTCCCAAAGTTTGTTCACATGAGTCTATTCAAGAAGCACATTGTCTTTGCTTCATATTGTGCTTTGAATGAATTCCTAATAAAATAGGGAGGGAATAGTACCCTTGCTTTCAAATAAAAATGACAAGAGAACCAATTGCAGCGGAGGGGAAGGAAGAAAGGAGAAACTAATTTTGCAAATGTTAATGTCATTTATTGCAGTGCATAGAATACTTGCTGACTAAACAGTCACTCTTTTGTATGGCATAATTGCAATCAATACCTATTAGAATCTTTGCTTTAAATATAGGCAGGACTATCAATTTTTTAAAAAAATATAATTTATTGAATAGCAAATGATATCTAAAGGATTACTAGATTAGTTTGAGTTATAAATACTTTTGTGTTTACCTTCTAGCACTCTTTGTGGAAAACAGAAAAAAAGTGATGATCGTATCAAGAGCTAATAGTATTGGTTCTACCAGTGCCTCTTCAGTACCAAATACAGGTATGCATTTGCTTTATTTCCTCTCTGTAAAACTCAATTTTCTATTCTAAGTGTGTAATGAAATGTACCTTTGTCTTATATTCTTAATTTGTTTCTAAATGGTAAATAGGCAATCAGTGTAATCTTGCTTTGTGAAAATTGTTAACTGTAGATTTAGAAATGACATTTCTTAATTATTATACCAACATTCTATAATTCTAAACAGTTCCTTCCTAACGTTTGGGTAGGCAAAAACTGTCTACACAATCCACAATTATTTTCAACAGATGTTATCTCATGAATTTCTGACTGATATTTACTTAATTTATAGCTATTGAAATAATTGTGCAGACAGATACTGAACAGTTCAGCAACTCATCCCCAATCGCATAACCCTCTGGTGGATTTCTTCCTGTTGCTTCCTGAATTAAAGAATACTTTTGTCTACCTAGTATATTCCTTTATTTCTAAACACATTCATATTTATTATTGTTCCTCATCACCCTTGTTACAACTTAGATTTTTTTAAAACAGAAAGGGGTCAAAAAACAACAATAAAAATCATTTTCAAATAATTTATTGAGTGCCCCCATCCTGGCATCATAAAAAATCTTAAACAAGTAGACTGGAATAGTTCTTCCAACTGTATTAGTCATTCAAAGAAGGTCTAGGGCAGACATGTCAAACTCAAGGTCTGTGGGCCACATCCGGCCCATGATATGATTAGATTTGGCATGCGGGGCCTCCTTGGAGATGGTGACGGGACGTCCCCTGATGCCTTGGCCCCAGCCTGGCAGGGCGCTCCCCTCTGGGCACGCACGCAGGAGGTGGTGAGCACATGGGGGCTGGCATCCCCAGTGAAAAGGAAGCATTTGGTGGCTGCAGGGCTAGCAGGTAGGCCGGGCCGATGAGCAGGCAACAGAGGCACTGGTGGCAGGTGAAGTGCTTCTGCTGGGGCTCTACTATGCACTTATCTACAACAACTTCATGGTGGCCACCTGGTGCTGGAACACAGTCAGCACATAGTAGTCCCAGCAGCAGCACTGCACCTGCCAACAGTGCTTCTGCTGCCAAAGTCCCGAAACTGAGATTGCAGTGTGTGTCACTGTTCCCTCTAAGGTGTGCGGCCGCGCGGCCGCGCACATGGCAAGAAAACACCGCGCAGGACTTTTCAACTCCCGCGCAGTGATTTCCACAGGCTCCGGAAGCTGGGGAGGAGGTCCTTTGCAGGCCGGACTAACTGCTGCTGCCTCCTCCTCCTCTAACAGCACCGCTGGATTTGCTGCCCGGCGCTGCGGCTTTGAGGAGCCTTTGAGGCTACGGGAGCCAGTAGGAAGGCGGCGGAGGGGCGGGAGCAGGAAAAAAAGCCCCGATAGCCTGTGGGAGATAGGGAAGTAGGCATTAACAGTAAGTTTCTAAAGGATAACTCAGCACGAAGGAAGCCGAGGGAAGGAAGCTGTTTTCTAGTGAACGGAGTTTCGGAGAGAGGAGAGCCAGTCCGGGACAACCTTCCCCCCACTTCCCTCTCTGTTGTCCCCCTCCCCTCGCTCCATTGCAAGACTCAGCGAGACTCATCCAGAGCCTGTGGGGAAGGGCCGGCGCTTAACGCTGAGAATCACCAAATTTGGCTCCGTTTCTGTCTTGCCTAGGCAGCAAAGGAGGAAAAAAGAAGCGGGAAGGCCTGGCAGGTGAGAAAGCGAAGGATTTAAAGAAAGCCCGATTCCACCCCGCTATCATTTACCCAGGCACTCCAGCGCCTTCCTCGGGAGTTTGAGACATCCCCCATCATCCTGTAAGAAGGATTCCCCCTCCAAAGACGCCCCCTCCTCAAAGAATTTCCCCTTCAAAAGAATTAACAAGAAAAGACGCCTCTATCAAAAGGGGGAAAATTTTCCCTGAAAATAAGAAACAATCCATTCCTCTCCCTTGGTGTCTCGATCAGCGATAGCAATAAATAGCCTCAGGCACTATTTACACCTCCAAAGCAGCGGCCCCCAACTTTTGGGGCACTGCTGCTAGCCAGACTATCTTGTTTCTCCTCATAACCCATTGATATTTTCTTTTAAAAAATAGAATATTTTATTGGCCAAATGTAAACGGACATGCAAGGCATTTGTCTCTGGTGCAAAAAGTCTCAGTGTACAAACAACAAAGTAATAGAATCATAATACTGATACTAATAAGAGATGGCAGCAGAAAAGATGTTATATAACACTTTTAATTAAGCGGGTACCTTGAATAAACATAACTTTGAATTTCAAATAATACTGATTTCATTGTTGTCTTAGATGACATCTGTGAAAAAAATTCAGGTGCTCAGGCATAAAAATGTGCCGCTCAAACACTATACTTTTCCGCTCACACTGAAAAAAAATTAGAGGGAACATTGGTGTGTGTGTGTGTGCACTTGGCTACCAGCAATTTGGGGACATGAGGAGCTTATGGAGCACAAAATTGTCCTCACAACGAGTTAGCTGGTGCGACTTGTTCCATTCCAAGTCAGCCATGCCCACCTGGCTGCTGCGAGTCGCCATAGTCTTACATGCAATTGGCCCTTTGAGGGCAATCATAATGCTGATGCGGCCCTCAATGAAATTGAGTTTGACACCCCTGGGCTAGGAGATCTTTCCTGCATTCTAATTTTATAATTTTTGAAGAATTAATAGCCACTGATATATAATATCTGAAAATGACATTCTTTTTATTATGTTTCATTTTTTTTGTTTTAGATAGATTGCAAACCAGTTTATTCATTAGTTCGGGTACACATTATCTTTTCTGGTTTTCCACATGATCCTCCAAAAATCTTAGCCATTTTAAACTGTTTCTTTTATATTAACTTGATTTGTGGGCTCCTTTCAGGATACCAATGGACGCAACATTGCTGATTGCTGCCTTATTTAGCATCAGTTACATATAATTCTTTATTAATCAGAGTCTTTCTGTTAAGTATCCCAAAAGTTTGTTAGTTTTATTAAACAATTTGGTTCTTCACATTTCACTTAAACATTTTATAGCAGAAAGCAATATAGAAGCAAGCAATTTTTCAATTGCAGTTGAAAGCTGAAGGAATTATTTCCTTCAGTATCTATGCTAAAATGAAAGTGCCTTTTAGGGACTATTTTTTTAAGTTATAAAGCTAAAGTCAAATTACTCTTCTTTGACTTTGGAAAATAAATCTGAGGCTAAGCAATGCTGTTAATGGTTCTTAAATAGACTATTGGGTCTTCTTTCAATAAACTGAAACTTTGTGATTAGAAAATTATTGGAAGCACTCACAATGACTTCCCTTCCTTGCTTTGCCAACAAAGACTCTTTTCATGCCACAGATGATGAAGACTCTGATTACCAACAAGATAGCCACAAAGAATCATACAAGGATCGCCGTCGCCGTGCTCATACACAAGCTGAGCAAAAGCGGAGGGATGCTATCAAGGTGAGAATATGACAAACTATATATGTATGCTTGTTATTTGTTGCATCTCAAATTCATTACAAGTTTACAAAGCTTCCACTTTGGAAGAACAGGTAAAGGAATAGATTTACTGACCAGGTTCTACTATTTGTTGTTAATTTTCTTGTATTATGTGGCAGATTTGATATGTGAGTTGTAATGTTTTTGTTTTTCTAACAGAAAGGTTATGATGATTTGCAAGCAATTGTACCCACATGCCAGCAGCAAGATTTCTCAATAGGCTCCCAGAAGCTAAGCAAGGCGATTGTGCTGCAGAAGAGTGAGTAGGGCTCCCAAGATTATCTGTGTTTCTCCAAGACCCGTTATAAGATTCCCAGAAATTTATACAAATTTCAGATTTTGCATTATATAACTATTAAATTCTGTAAATAGATGAATCTTACTACTGTATTCTAACAAATAGAACAAAATAGAATAGAATAATCACTTTTCTGATTAATATATTTTAATAAAAGGTGTGAATATTTATGAGCTCTGTAACCCACTTTGTAGTAGATATATAATGGCTAGATTGTTGCAGAGATAGGGGAGGGGCTATGCAGATTATATGAGAGAGCTTTGGAAATGTGTCTTATTTCCCAACAGACTACTACTATTGAGCTAGCAGTTGCTTAATTTCAGTTTAAATCTTTTGTCAGTTTAGCCATTCTGTTCGTTTGTGAGTGACCTGCAGCTGATGAAAGCTTATGCTTTTTAACTAAAAATTACCATATCTTTCGGAGTATAAGACGCACCTTTTTCCCTCAAAAAAGAGGCTGAAAATCTGGGTGCATCTTATACACTGAATACAGCATTTTTTGCCTCCCGCCCCTCCCCCTGGCTCTGCACAAAATGGCCAGGCAGAGCCTGTAGAAGAGAGCTCATGGAGGCTGTGGAGGGTAGAAATGAGCAAAAAAATGGGACACTTTTTGTCCCACTAGTCGCCAGCATCACTTTATAAGCCTCCATAAGGCTATGCATGCAGTTTTTTTGACAAAAACCAGGCCCGTTTTTGTGAAAAACGGGCCATTTTTTGCTCTATTTTGTCGCCCTACAGGAGCACTCTGCAAGCCCCAAGGCTATTCATGCCTTTTTTTGGAGAAAAAAAACAGGCCCGTTTTCACACAAAATGGGCCGTTTTTCAGAGGTTTGCACAGTGCAAAAATTCCCCCGCCCTTTGGAAAGCTCTCTAACTCTTTGATCAGGTCAGAAACAAAGTCTTAAGGTTTGTCAGCGATTTCCTTCTCCAGCACCTGGAAACATCTACCCGCCTACTCTCTCTCTCCCTACCTACCATATTTCTCTCTCTCTCTCTCTCTCTCTCCCTCTACCTATCTATCTACTGTATTTTCTCTCTATCCCTCTACTTACCTACCTACACACTCTCTCCCTACCTACTGTATTTCTCTCTCTCTATCCCTCTACCTACCTACCTACTCTCTCCCTACCAATCTACTGTATTTCTTCCTCTCTATCCCTCTCCCTACCTACCTACACACTCTCTCCCTACCTACCTACTGTATTTCTCTCTCTCTATCCCTCTACCTACCTACCTACTCTCTCCCTACCAATCTACTGTATTTCTTCCTCTCTATCCCTCTCCCTACCTACCTACACACTCTCTCCCTACCTACCTACTGTATTTCTCTCTCTCTATCCCTCTACCTACCTACCTACTCTCTCCCTACCAATCTACTGTATTTCTTCCTCTCTATCCCTCTCCCTCCCTACCTACACACTCTCTCCCTACCTACCTACTGTATTTCTCTCTCTCTATCCCTCTACCTACCTACCTACTCTCTCCCTA